AAGATTCCCGGTGGTCGAGCGGGTCTTGCGGTCCCTGGACCTCAAAGTTTACGTTAGCAGGCGAGCGCAGCGTGTGTGTAGAAGTGGGGGCACCACGGCGTCCCCTCCCGACTGGCGTCTGCCCTGCCTTTTCTAGTGCTGCTGAACTTGAGTTGGGTGTTTTCTGCGGAGTCGAGAGGCATTTTCCAGGTCGGAACGCTTCGGTCCGTTTCTTGGTGCGCGCTGGTGCCAGGGACACCCGGGAGGCGCGGGCCAGCACAGAAGCCAAAGATAGGCTGAAAGATGGCAGGTTCTGGGGTGGAAAGAACTGGGCAGTGGAGCCTGAAGATGTTCAATTCTACCTTCTCAGTATTTGTGCCTTGTGAAACGTCCCAACTCTCAGTTGGGTATCCTGTTTGGTGATTTTGATTGCCCCAAATAATGAAAAGTGGACGTGGAATTTAGTTTCTCTGCCACACGGGTTGGCTAGGATGTGCAGTGTAGATGCTGCAAAAGGAGGGAAAGTTAGCTGGAACACGAAAGAGTTAGCTGCTCGCTGAGTGCCTTTCTTGGTACCATATAGATCGCTTTTGTTTTAAGAGTCCTTTCCGGGTGGTCTCGAATTCTTGACCTCTTCCAGCTGTGATCTTAGTTGTGCTTCTCCTGTTCAGGTTTTACTTGTTAAAGTTAGGGATAGCACTGATGCCCAGTCTTTAGAGCTGTGGGCTTTATGTACTGTTAAGTTGTTGTAAATTGTACAGCTTCGAGCTGTCTTAAAGTCTTTATTAAAATCACCTGCCCTTACGATGTAAAATAGAAGTGTTCCCTGTTTTCGGAGTTACAATCTGCCTGTTTCCTGTCTTCTCACTTGTGAAGTTTTTCTTATTCTCGTTTTCACACTTTTCCTCCTCCCAAGACTCCTATCTTCCTCACTTGCATATTTATAGTTGTTATTTCTTACCAAATACAACCAGAATAACAATTACTCTTGAAAAAAAAAAACTTCCTAACTACTTTCTCACTTATACAGTTGAGCCCAACATGTACAACATTGACAGCCTCCCTCCCTCCAAGAAACCGAGTTTAGCGCAGTCCTGTAGGTTATTATTGCCCAGATGTTAGGAACTGAACCTGAGAGAAGCAGCTGTTTTACTTAGACCAGGGAATCGTCAACTCCTATGTTTTTTATAAGTGTTTTTCCCTTTGTTTGTTCGTTCGTTCCTTCCTTTGTTCCTTCCTTCCTTCCTTCCTCCTTTCCTTTTTCTCTCTTTCCCTTTCCTCCCTCTCTCTCTCTCCCTCCTCCCTCACTCATCAAGATTAAATCTGAGGCTTCATGAATGCACATCACCACATGCTACTGCTAAGCTGTTTCTCTAGACTCCATCTTACTGTTTTTGTTTTTGTTTTTTTAAAGCAGGGCTTCTGTGTGTAGCTCTTTAGGGGCTGGCCTTAAACTCAGAGGTCACCTGCCTCTGCCTCCTGAGTTTGCTGAGATTAAAGGCCTGTGGCACATCTTCCTGGTTTTGTAGTCAGTGCAGCATATGGAACCAGTTAGGATTCTTCAGCTTCCCTGAAGATGTGGAATCAATAGTTATTCAGTAAAAACTGAATTTGGGATTATGTGTTTCTGGGCTTAACACTGTGTTGTATGATGCCTAGCGTCCAATCCCTAATGAGATCACAAGGGCATCATTGGTACTGCATTGTGTACTGGGTTGCTAGGCATTTATGTTCGGTAGAAAGGGTGTATTAAATTCATTTTCAACTTAAAATATTTTCAGTGTATAATGGGCTTATCCGGTATAACCCCACTGAAAGTCAGGGGTCTTCTGTATAGCTCTCTTTCTCCTCCTTTCTGAACACGAGTTCAATAGTGTGAAATTCAGTCATAGGGGCAAGTGTGAGCTTTTCTGAGACCCTCTTCAGGGTGCTAGGAAGAGTTGAGAAAAGAATTTTTGTAAGATTCTTGGTGATTCAACTGTAGTTTTTCTGATTGTATTGAGATTGCGTAAAATTGCAGAATTTTTGTAACTGGGAAGGAGGAAAATGAAATGATCTAGCTCCTTCCAGATCAGGATTTTTCTTCTAAGGATTCCCTATGTGTCCCCCCCCCATGTCTAACTTGGTCCTACTTGTCCTAGAATTTTCTGTGTAGACTAGCTAGAACTCTGCCTACTTCTGCCTCCAGAGTGCTGAGATTAAAGGCATGCACACTATGCCTAGCTGCTGTAGATGTTTTAAATATTTTAACCCAGCTTCCTTGGTTAATAAGGGTACACTGATTTTTAAAGTACAACATTTTATTTGTATTTTATCACAGCGGTTCTGATTCCCTCTCTCCCTCCCTCTCTAAATTTGCTTCCTAGTTCTGCCCAGATTTTTGTTTCTAGAGCACTGGTCCATAGTAGAAATAATAATGTGAGCTCCAAGTGTGAGCCATATTTGTGATTAAAATTTGTGTGTTTGTGGTGCTGGGGTTTTAACCCAGCGCACCATGCAAGCAAGGCAAGAGTTCTATCAACTGTACTGTATCCCCAGACAGAGACAGTGACAGAGACACAGCGAGAGATGAAGATAGAAACAGAGAGACAAAGACACGGATGTGTGTGTTTATATAAATGTATATATTTGTGTGTGTGCATATACATATATATTTAAACTATTTATTACCATTAACTTACAATTCTGAGTTTATGCACTATGGCAAGCACTGATAATTTTCACCACTGGAGATCATGTGTAGGCATGTGGCTAACTGAGGGCTATACTGCAATCATTAAGGAAGTCAAGAATTTTTAGTATTTAAGTTACAAAATTTTGTTCCCTTTGATTTTTATTGCAGAAGTCCCAATAGATAATATACATATTACTACAGATGACTGAAGATAAAAATATCATTTAAGATTATTAAATTAGTTGCATATTTTGGACTACTCTACAGACAGCTGCTAGTGCTGATAAGGCAGCAGAGAGTTGGTATGGGATTTCTGGCTTTCCTACAAAGTTGGTGTGGTCATTAAACAGAGCATTTTGTGTTTTTCAGCAAAACTATCTGCTAATCTGTGGCTTGGCAGAAGTGGTGGGGACACTGTCCCTTCCAGATCTGGTTCTTGTTTTGCTAGAGAGGGTCCTCTCTGTTCCTCTTTAGTTGATAAGCTGATCCACTTCATTTGTTACATGACATAAAAACAGAAGCCAGGCTCCAGGTTGTACCTTGTAGGCAAATCTCATGAATCTCAAAGTATAGCAACAGGATGAAAGTCATTCACCCACTGAATCTCTGGAGACTTCTAAATGTCATTGATGGCCGGAATGGGGAGACCCAGTTGGCAGCTGGGTCCTCCAGCTTACTCATGAGCTAGTCCTGGAAGGACTGTGCCCCTCGGCTCCAGCTGTGGTCATGCCACTCGAGGCGCAGCCACATTTTCTTCACTCTGTATATTTTTAAAAAGTAAAAATTGGGGAAATTGGACTGAGTACCACTTGAGGTATAGCTGCTATATTGCTTTAAAAAGTAGAATTTGGACTGATGGGATGGCTCAGCAGGTAAAAATGTGTGCAGTGCAAGCTTCGGGGCTTAAGTTTACTCCCTAGAACCTGCAAAGAGCTGGATGTTGTGTCTTGGTGGCTATTATCTATAATCCTATTAACTCCAACATCAAGACGAGAGGTGGAGACAGGAGGATTGCTCTGAAGCTCCCAGGCCAGGGGCTGTGAAGTATGCAGAGTGTCAGAAACAAGAAAGAAGATGGAAAGCAAAATCAGATTCCTCAAAGTTGTCTTGTCCTCGGCTCCCACACACATAATGAAGGCTGTGTACTCATTCTTACATTTATGAACATGAGCTGGCATGCACACAAACATTTTTAAATAATTAGTGAAATATATTAAAAATAAGATCTAAAAATACTACTTACACGTGCAGTTAATACGGGGCATCTCCTTTGCACTTACAGGGTTCTTTTGGTGCCAGGTTGTAATGTTTGTGTGCGTGTGAGCCTGTTTTGGAGACAAGGCCTGGTGTAGCCCACGCTGGTTTTGGGGTATCCAGCTAAGAATGACCTTGAACTTCCCAGTCCTTCTGTGTCCACCTCAAGAGTGTTGGGGTTACTGGCGGGCATCACTACATCCATTGTTAAAGGTTTAACTCAGAGCTGGGTGGTGGTGGCTCATGCCTTTAGTCCCAGCCCTTGGGAGGCAGAAACAGGCAGATCTCTGTGAGTTCCAGGCCAACCTGGTCTGCAAGAGCTAGTTCCAGGACAGGACAAACTACAGAGAAACCCTGTCTCGAAAAAAAACCTAAAAAAAAACAAACAAACAAACAAAACTAAACAACAAAAAAAGGATTTAACTCAGTGCCTTGTGTGTGTGCTAGGCTAGCACTGAACCAACAGCTACATCCCCAGCCCTGCAGTCTGATACCTATTTTATACTTGCGTTCTAACTAGCACATGTCAGATTGAAGCAGGCACCTGTTAACCACCGCACTGGGCAGCATAACTGTAGGGCTTTGGAGAATAGTTGTGTTTTACTGACCTTACTACTGCCTATTGCATCATTTTTTGAAAAAGTAAATGCATAAATATAAATATTAACAAACTAAGATAATTTTGTAGGAACTAACTTGCTAAGGTCTGTAGACTTGGCATGCAGGTTTGAGTCTTCGGAGTTTATATTAAAGATGTGTTTGTTTTTATAGCATTATGGATCCAAGCCTGTTGAGAGACCGAGAGCTCTTCAAAAAACGAGCTCTTTCTAACCCTGTGGTAGAAAAACGTTCTGTGCCTTCTGAGTTGCCCTCCGCCTCATCCAAGAAGAAGAAAGCAAAAGTCGAACATGGAGGGACATCAGGCTCTAAACAAAGTGCAGGTGAGTGTAATTGTCTTGGGACTGTTTGCTTTCATTTTTCAGGTAACTAGTAATAGCAAGTTAAGTTCAGTTCATGTGTCTGTCTATCTATCTATCTATCTATCTATCTATCTTTATTTTAATGCTTTTTTATTGACTTTATTGAGCTATACATTTTTCTCTGCTCCCCACCCTTCTTTTCCCCTCTCCTTCCCTTCAACCTTCTCCTATGTCCCCATGCTCCAAATTTACTCAGGAGATCTTGTCTTTTTCTACTTCCCATGTAGATTAAATCCATGTATATCTCTCTTAGGGTCCTCATAATTGTAGGCTGGTTTTCTTTGCTTTATGTCTGAAAGCCACTTATGAGTGAGTACATATGATATTTGTCTTTCTGGGTCTGGGTTATCTCACTCAATATGATGTTTTCTAGATCCATACATTTGCCAGCAAATTTTAAGATGTCGTTATTTTTTTAGCTGTGTACTCCATTGTGTAAATGTACCACATTTTTCTTATCCATTCTTTGGTCGAGAGGCATTTAGGTTGTTTCCAGGTTCTGGATATGACAAACAAAGCTGCTATGAACATAGTTGAGCACATGTCCTTGTGACAAGATTGAGCATCCTTTGGGTATATACGCCAAAGTGGTGTTGCTGGGTCTTGAGGAAAGTTGTTTCCTAATTTTCTGAGAAATTACCATACTGATATCTACAGGGGCTATACCAGTTTGCACTCCCACCAGCAATGCAGGAGTGTTCCCGTTCTTTCTTTCTTTCTTTTCCTTCCTTCCTTCCTTCCTTCCTTCCTTCCTTCCTTCCTTCCTTCCTTCTTTTTCCGATTATGCATGACGCATTAAGAAGTGCCATCACACACGCACGGGACTCAAACTTGAGACCTCGGGCAGAGCAATCAGAGCTCTTACCTCTCAGCCATCTGTACGGCTGTTGTGAGTGTTCCCTTTTCCCTACACCTTCTCCAGCGTAAGTTCTCATCAGTGTTTTTGATCTTGGCCATTCTTACAAGTGTAGGATGGAACCTCAGAGTTGTTTTGATTTGCATTTCTCAGGTTCAGTTTATTTTTGAGTTTATTTGTAAACTCTGGCTGGCCTGGAACTTTTATGTAGATAATCCCACAGAGATGCCTGCCTCTGCCTCCTGAGTGCCAAGATTAAAGACCTGTGCTATTCCATAGCCCAGCAAGTTTAATATTCTTAATGGGTTTTAGGTTCATCATTAAATATAAAGGGTGGAATTTAAGTCCTTGATATGTTTATTATAACAGTCTCATGTTTTAAAAATTAGGATATTAACTTTTTAAAAATAAAAGTATTAGGGTTGGAGAGGTGGTCCATTGATTAGGAGTACTGGCTGCTCTTCTGGTGGACCTGGGTTTGATTCCCAGAACCCACATAGCAGCTCACAACTGCCTATACTCTGGTTCCAGGGGATCTAACAGCCTTTTCTGGCTTCTGTGGGCACTGCATGCAAGTAGTACACAGATACATGCAGGCAAAACATCCATGCACATAAAACTAAAGGGGAAGAAAGCGTACAGTTACGTTCAGGGAGAAGGGGTAAAGCAAAAAACAAAACGAAAACATCCTTTATTGAGGTTTATCTTCTGTAACCCACAATTTTAATGATATAGTGTAAATATTTTTAGTAAATATGAAACAACTTTCACTTCTGTTTTAGACCATTTCTGTCATCGCTCAAAGGACTGGCGGGTGCTCATTTGCAGTGACTTCTGACCCCAGACCCAGATAACCAATAATCTACTTTCTGTTTACATATTTTCCTTTTCTGGACAATTTCTATACAGCCAAGGGACTGCTATACTCCTTTTATCCAACTTTTGAGTTCTCCTAGGATTTAAAATTCTTTGTGGTGCTGGGAGATGGTTCAGTAGGTAAAGTGGGGAACTGAACTTGTGTCCCAAGCCAGGGGTGTAGACACCTGTAATCCCCATGCTAGGGAGACAGACAGAAGAATACTTGGGACTAACTGGCCAGTCTGGAAAGCTGGTGATCCCTACGTTCAGTGAGAGACTCAGTCTCAAGGTTGGGTGGTGGTGGATGGTGGGTGTAGGGGAATAGGAGGAGCAGGATGGCAAAGGATCATTTGCTATGAAACATGACAAACTTGAGTTCAGTCCCTGAAACCTGTAATGAAAGGAAAGAATAGGAATCCTGAAAGTTGGCTTTTGACCTCCATACATGGGCCATGGACATACATTTACACACACACACACACACACACACACACACACACACACACACACAGATACTAATAAGTAAATTTTAAAAATAACCCCTCTTTCTGGCACAGCTTCCATGATGCATTATTGTAATAGCATGACTGCTGGTTTGCATCATATCTTAGTCTTTAGCCTAAACTCTTTTTTTTTTTAATATTTATTTATTATGTATGCAATATTCTGTCCATGTGTATGTCTGCAGGCCAGAAGAGGGCACCAGACCCCATTACAGATGGTTGTGAGCCACCATGTGGTTGCTGGGAATTGAACTCAGGACCTTTGGAAGAGCAGGCAGTGCTCTTAACCACTGAGCCATCTCTCCAGCCCCTAGCCTAAACTCTTATACACAGCAGTAAGCTCAATAAATGTTTGTCAGATGGCTAGATTACAAGATAGAGTGGTGGGGGAATAGTAGTGTAGTTTAAAACTCTAGAGATGGGGCTGGCAGGATGAGTCAGCAGATAAACTTTGGCCAATAGCTTAAGCATATTTCTGGCTAACTCATATCTTAAATTAACTCATCTCCATTAGTCTGTGTATTGCCACCAGGCTGTGGCTTACCGGGTAAAGTTCTGGTGTCTGTCTCTGGCGGGGCTACATGGCTTCTCTCCAACTCTGTCTTCTTTCTCCCGGCATTCAGTTTAGTTTTCCCTGCCTGCCTCTATTCTGCCCTGCATAGGCCCAAGACAGTCCTTTATTAACCAATGATATTCACAGCATACAGAGGGGAATCCCACATTACCTCCCTTTTCTGTTTAAATAAAAAAGGTTTTAATTTTAACACAGAAAAATTACATATAACAACAATTATCAAGCAAGAATTACAATTTATATCTGCTTTATCTTTTATCATAACTAAGGAAAACTATAATTATAACTATGTATTCTTCAACTCCGTCAAAGACTCCAGTAGGATATAATATTAAACAGGAAGTGTATTGTAAGCAACTTTCAAAACTCTAGAATTGACAGAGACATCTCGCTGCCTGGACATTCACCCAAAGGTCTTCTGTATTGTTGGGGCACCCATCTTCAGCCTACAGGCCCATAGATTCCAACAGATTTTTCCATGAATCAGGAAATCTCAAAAGCAGTTCTACCTATATTGGCAGTTTGTCAGTCACTTTTTTCTCTCTTCTCCAGAATGTCTGGCAGACTTTTCATGAAGCAGGAACCCCAAAGGACTGTCTCACCTTTAGGGAACTTCAGCAGTCATTTCTCTGTGGGTCCTGCATGTCCAGTTTATCAAGCAGTCCAGGCAAGAGCAGTTTTTTATTCAAATGGTTAGCAAACTCCATGAGGAGCCTCTTCGATGCCCGTCTTTCTCTTAAAGTAGCTTGGTGCCGCTAGGAGCAGATGTGTCTCACTGTCGTGAAAAGTCCTAAGTTCTTAAACATTTTAAATGTCATATTCTATTGTTTTTGAAAGGTTTGAAGAATGCCATCTGAAATGCATCTCTGTACATCTAGAAAATCTTTTTTTTTTTTTTACATCTAGAAAATCTTAACTAACATGATTACAAGCTTGACTATTATAATTATCTATTAACCTATATTTCTTAATTATACATTACACTTTTAAATGAGCTGCACAAATACAATACCTTAATCAAGAGCAGAAATAGACATATAACAAAATTGACCTTAAAACTGTATCAATTAAACCAAGATCTCTACCAGTGCAAAGTATCCATCTCTATAGCATATCCCCCTTTAAATATAAACAAACATTTATAAACAGTCATTTAGGGAATTTGGACATAGTTTTCTCCAAAATGCTTCCTGCTTTTTGTTGGGCAAAGTAATTTTTGGGGGTATTCACGGCAACCTTTCAGGGGATCTTGGTCCATCAAACCACATTAGTCTGGATGGAATCCACAGGTTCTCATCCTCTGTGGAAACAAAAGAACCTCTTTTCCTGTACAGCATGTCCTTAGACCCATATTTTGAAGACAAGATAACTTTTAAAGTATATATGTTAATTACTTAGCTCTTTTACAGTCAAAAAAATTCAAAGAAAACACAATAATATACATAATCCAGACAGTGTATACATTCCATCTTTACATGGCTTATTTTTTTTCCTTATCTGATTTTTTCTTTTTTTTTAATTGATATTTATTGAACTCTACATTTTTCTCTACTCCCCTTCCCGCCTCTCCGCTCCCCTCCCCTCTTCAGTCTTCCCCCAAGGTCTCCATGCTCCCAATTTACTCAGGAGATCTTGTCTTTTTCTACTTTCTACTTCCCATGTAGATTAGATCTATGTAAGTCTCTCATAGTGTCCTCATTGTTGTCTGAGTTCTTTGGGATTATGTTTTGTAGGCTGATTTTCTTTGCTTTATGTTTAAAAACCACCTATGAGTGAGTACATGTGATCATTGTCTTTCTGTGTCTGGGTTATCTCACTCAAAATAATGTTTTCTAGCTCTATCCATTTTCCTGCAAAATTCAAGATGTCGTTATATTTTTCTGCTGTGTAGTATTCCATTGTGTAAATGTACCACATTTTCCTTATCCATTCTTTGGTTGAGAGACATTTAGGTTGTTTCCAGGTTCTGGCTATGTCAAACAAAGCTGCTGTGAACATAGTTGAGCACATGTCCTTGTGGCACAATTGAGCATCCTTTATATATATACCCCAAAGTGGTATTACTCGGTCTTGAGGAAGGTTGTTTCCTAATTTTCTGAGAAATCGCCACACTGACATCCAAGGGGGTTGTACCAGCATGCATTCCCACCAGCAATGCGGAAGTATTCCC